ATAATTATATAATAACTAGCCCTTTTACGCTAGAAGAACTATTTTTCCTTTATATCTAGGCGTATAGTAACCTATACTAACGCCTAAGGGGGTATATTATATAGGATATTACTAACTAATACTACTTTTAAAAACAACGTTGCTTATTAATCTAACCCTTGCTCCTAAATATAAATACTTATAGTAAAATCTACTAAGCAAGGCAATATTTAAGGAATATAGATTATAGTACTATAAATAGAAGAAATAAGCTACTTTTAACTATATAAATTACCCCCCTAAACGTACTACTTAATAATAAATACTTCTATATCTTATCTCTTATCTCCTATCTTTAACCTTATTTACTACTTTTACCTCTAAAAGTTATTAAATCTATTACCTATTTAACTATATTAAATAGGCTTTATTATTAGACTTACTAATATTATTACTATAGATATAGTCCTTAAGCTACTTTTATTTAGCCTTATATATAATATTAGAGTTAATATAGTAAATATAGAGTTATTACTAAAAACTAAGGAACTACTTATTCTATATAGCCTTTATTTATTTATTATAGTTTATAATAATAATAGTAAAGTAATAAACTAACTATTAGTTTATAAGTTAGTAAATATTTACTAAAACAAACTAAAAACTGTTTAGCCTTTTATTATTAATAAAGCTAAATATAGTGTTATAAATAAACTTAAGATAAGTTTATCTAGTAGCTTAAAAAAGTAAAAGTTTAAAGTAATTAGTATTATAAGTATTATTAAAACTAATTACTCTAGAGAATTACTTTTATATTTAAAGATAATAAAAAAAGGTCTAGATAAGGCTAATAAGATAGTCTAGCTTATTATTTACTTACTTTACTATATAAGATATTTTACTTATTAAATAGCTTAATTAAAGCTATAGTTAGTAAATACTTATTTAACTTCTTTTAGTTTATATAAGCTTTAGTATTATAAATATTTTATTAAGTAAATAAGATATTTAAAAACTACTCTTAAATAATTATATATATATTATATTCTAAATACTAACTTATTAGATTATTATATTTATTATATTTATTATAGACTAAGTAAGTCTATAATAATAAGAATAAATAAAGGCTTTAAGACTAAGGCTATAGTTATACTAACTATACTAGGTTTTAAGATATTAATATAATAGCTACTTACTTTTCTCTTAGGCCTCTATAATAATCTACTATTAATAACTATATTTCTAAGATATATACTATTAAATACTATTACCTTTTAGTAGTTTAAGTATACTACACTAATTATATTAGAGGTAGTATTACTTAAGATAACTTTAAACTTTCTTTTTATTATACTTTATAATACTAAATCTATTAGCTTTTATAAAGGTATTAACTTAATTAAAGAAGGCCTTAAAGGTTTATTCTAGATTACTAGGTATTAGTAAGGTAAGGATATTAGGTATAAGAAGAGAAAAAGATTAGTTACTTAGGTTATAGTATAAGGCTATAGTTTAAAAAGCTACCTTACTTTAAAAAGAAAATTATTATTATAGTAGTAAATAAGTTAGTAAATTAGCTTAAGAACCTTATTACTTTTATTATTAATAAGTATACTTTTATTATTAAAGGAGTACTATTATTAGCTATTAATTAGTCTTAATAACTTATTAAATAAGGTTAAAAGTATTATAAAACTACTATATAGTAGTATAAAGAGGTTACTAAGACTATTTATTATAAAAAAAAGCTATACTTTAGAGAAAGCTAAAAAAGAATAGTCTACTAAGTTTTTATTATTCTTTTAAAGAAATATTAAGTAAAGTAAAGTGTTAGCTTTATACTAAAGTAATTTAGTTTGTAGTATAAAAGAGGTTATATATCTTATAGTAAGCTTAATAAAAGCTTAACTAGAAGGTTATACTACCTCTTAGAATTACTAGCTTTTAGTGTATAAAGGGAAAATATAATTAAAATATATTTCTATCAAGGGCTTTAGAGAGTATACTATAGTTATAAAGCTTAGATATATACTATAAGTATAGTAAAGCTATTATAATACTAAATATAAATTTTACTATAATTTAATATAAATAGATTTAAAGTTAAGGTAAAGGTTACTAAAAAATTCAATGTCTTATTAAATATATATAATCTATATTTAATATTTTATATTTCTTTTTAAAATATAGAAATAAAGTTTTATTTTAATATTTTATTAAATCTAAGAAGTATATTTAAAGCTAGTACCTTATAAATCTATAGCTTCTAGAAGTTAGAAGTAAGATAAGTTCTTAGAAAAAGCTATAATAAATATATATATAGATTAAATCTAATTCTTAAAAAGAGAATATATTCTAAAATATAAATATATTTTTAATATACTACTAGTTTTATAGAACTAGCTAACACTAGGACAGCTACTTTTAAAGAAAAAAGATAATAATAAGTAGCTAAATAATAGTAATAGGTTATAATTAGTTACTAGTTACTTTCTTAAGATATACCCTATAGTAGAAAAGTAAGTAGGTTATATATTATACTTTAGAATATATTATAAGGCTATTATAAGTAGATAGTATAAATTAAACTAAGGCTAAATAAATTAACTTTATTATAAGGAAGAATAAGAAAAGAAAAGCTACCTCTTATAGGTCTAGTAGAATTTAGTTTATACTAATAGTCTTTTTTTAAACTAATTAGAAATATAAATAGTTATATATTTATAAGACTAGTATATCTATATTAATTCCTAGTGTATCCTAATTAATTACTAATTTTTAACTAAATTAGGTCTAGTCTTTCTTATTATTCTTAATAAAGATTCTATAAATAGAAATAATATTATAGTAATTATATACTAGTCTTAGCCTTTATAAAGCCTTTATTTATCTTTACTACTAGCTTTAGATAAAGACTTACTTTAATCTACTAAATATAGAGTAAGTAGTTAATATTTATAATTTTTTACTAGTGATATAAACCTTATTAAAGCCTAATAGAAGAAACTAGAGATTTTTTAGTTAGGAATTATACTTTTAATAAATAGTTAGAAATCTAGGTATTTCTAGTAATAAGAAGTTATAAACTAACTTACTTGCTTAAATAACCTAGTTACTTATAAACTATATTATACTATATATTACTTTAATTAATATCAATTAGGAATTTATAACTTAGACTATTAATTCTTAAAGTATATAGATATAGTAGTTAATTATAACAATATCCTTAGCTAATTAGGTGTATATTAATAGTGTATCTATACTGAATTTACTGTAGTTACTGCCTTGAATTCGTGGCCTTTTTACCTAATGCATTTGTTATCTAAATTGCCACTTTCAAGTAGGGAAATCCATCCAGCCAATGACGGCGACATTTGCCCCACCCTGGCTCATTGCCAATTGCCACACTTTGACAATTAGGTCCTCTCCCTTTTCAGTATACATAACGACGGAGACAACACGTCTTTTCCATTAAGCAGCGGCGGCGGCAGCGCGTTACCCCTATCGACGGCTTATTGCACGCTGCCCTCTCACCGACCTTCAAGGATCCGAGACAATGCGCGCGCACAAGGCTAGCACCGCGACCTCCGGATCACACACACATCCATCTGCCTTTTAAGCGACTACATCATCACTAAGAACAGGTCGGTATGGTTAGCCGACGTGTCACCTGGCCTGACACCACATTGCTCCACAAGTCTAACACTGCACCCAACAACGAAAGACCGTATTGGTCTCGAATCAACGGCGGGCCAACATCACACACCCCTTCCACCGCCAGAAAGACGCTTAGAAATCGTCAACATCGTCAGCGACCAACGACATCCCTCAAATGCGACAAACAGCGACCGGCCGATGCTATCCGAATAATTCCCACGCCGTCAAGACGCCTAAGCCGTCATCAAGACAACCATCCATAACCGTTAAGCGGTGCTTTTCACTGTCAAGTCACTGACTCCACCGCCGCCGCTGCTTTGTGCGACCTTGATCAGATCCAAACCGCAAATTTTGCATGTCAAATGTCTTGCATTGAAGATTTGATTACATAATTGGTTACAGGTAAATTGCCAGTGCACTTTGGTATCCTGCCAGTGGGATAAACCTATTTCAGTAGGCACTGCCACTACCGCCACCACCGCCACCGCCGCAGTCCATAACCTATGCAAAAAACGCCCTTTTTGCTGTAAATCCCTATAATACAACAGCAGCAATAATAAGTAGCCCTTTTAGCCTAGCGGCAGCAACAACTCTGCTAGTAATTAGTGCTACTACTACTGCTGCAGTTACTGCCTAGGCAGTATAGGCAGGATTAATTTAGCCTAGCGCTAGGTTAATCTGATGCTAGGTTAATCTGACGCTGGGTTAATCTGATGCATAAGCTTTTAAATCCTAGCCCGCTTATTAATTAGCCTGGTCCTGACGTAACCTGTTTCCTAACTAGGTTTAACCCACTGGCAGGATTCTAAAGTGCACTGTCAATTTGACCGTAAACACATAATTAACGCAAGGTAGGCTGTCAACGGGGTGCGTATTATACAAAATAGAACCATGTAGATGAAATTGAACATATCATAAAAGTTTAAAGTGGGTAGCGTAGCAAATGGGGTAGCCAGAATATGAAGGTAACTAAAAGGTAGGTGCTTTAAATTATTTAACCGGGAACTCCGTAGTTAAATATTGGCCATAGACTAGGACTAATTAAAAACTTAAAGTGGACAACGCGAGTCAGAAGCAGATGACACGTACTTCTGCTATTTATTGTGTTTATTACAGTATTAACATGATTAATGTAGTAGCTATAATAGTTTAGTTAGTATATTTCTGAGTGGACAAACCTAGCTGCAACCCCTAAGTGCTTTCCCCCTTTTTGCGGATTAAACGGCTAGTTATGGCCTTAGGCGTATTTGCTACTTTAGTATAAGACTATTAGTCTTTCACAGCCCCTTGATATTCCTTTCTCTGTTGCTCTATTTTACCTAGTCTTCTTACTAACCTTGCTTTATTTGTAATACAAAATGACGTTTATACAATACAGTATTCTCACCCTTCTATTTTTAGTGCTAGCTGATGGCCTTATCCTACCGCCTAGCTTGCAGTCATTAGAAGCTACAACACCTCAGCCGCTAATAAAACGACAATCCCAGCGAAAGGCAGAGATAGTCGGTGGTAAAATTGGTAAAGGAAGCAAGGAGTTTTGTAATGGTTCTCAGGTGCAGAGGATCATTGCCGACCTGAAATGGATGCATGAACTTGCTGGTGCTGCGTCTGACTTTTTACTCCAACCTAACTCTCATACCACTGCAGCGTATGTTGCATGGTTTGGAGGTACGTATGGGTGGTCTACCTACTGTGGACAAAGACCAATATACTGGTAATTCTTGCTAACCTCTGACGTTAGAATCCTCTGCCGCTAGGGCGACAGAGATCGGGAATCAAGTCTTCAAAAGTATATGGAATATGGGCCGACGGCCTGTGACCTATGCCGAGAGTGTCGAGGACGGTAGTTATAATGGTATAGTTTTTGGCTGCTTTCCCCAAGATCCACGGTACTGTAAAGCAGACACCTATGCTGTCGCTCGTGACAACCGGTACAGCTATGTAATGGTTTGCCCGAGTTACTTTGGCCTTAGTCAAAGGTACACAGAAGCATTTGAATCTTGGAGGGATAGGCGGAAGGATATAGAAGTTGGTGGACAGATTCTACTACACGAAATGCTACATCAACGTATAGTAGTCGGAACAGACTATTACGCTTATGATTACGCTTACCACCCGGACAGGTAAGTAAACAATCTATACTTCTAGTATTTAAAGAGAAAGTATTAACAAAGGAGGAACAGCTGTTTGTCTCTCCCGGATTGGAAGAAGAAAGGGAATGCTGAAAACTATGCTCTTTTTGCTTTGGAAGTTAAAGCTAATTTAGAACGAGCAAAACTTCAGGTTGATTTAAAGGCGCCAGAGGGAGCAGGTGAGAATGCAAAGAGCCTATTAAAACCTAGTAGTTAATATAGAAAAGCTATAAGAAAGAAGGTTAATATACATCTCTTACTAATTACAGTTACCACCTAAACACTCATTGCTAACCTGAACACACTATACCCTGCCAAGATCACCAAGAAATACCTAGCCATAAGATGCCTTTTGTAAGTGCTTGCTTTGCTATAATAGCTTGATGACTTAGGTAGTAATAACTTTTGTGTATCCGACTGCCCTTTTTGATTCTTTGGGTCCTAGTTACTATAAGAAGTAGAACCTATCTAGTTTCTACGATGTTGGGTTTATATACTCTAGTATAAAAGAAACAGCTTCTATTATAAGCCGTTGTATAAAGAGTGTGCATCTACAGTTAGTGTTAGCCTATCTTGAATAGCTAGTGTAATAGGACAAGTTAGGTCCTATTAGTTAAAATGATTACTAGGAGTAACTAAGTAAGCTTTGTCCTGTGCTCTATTTGGTATACTAAACAAAGGAAACTATTATTATTTTATTACTAGTAGTAGCCGCCTAGTCTATTGCTAGACAGTTGCGCCTAGATTTACATGTTGTAATAGGTTTACTGGTCTTAATAAATATATAATAACCCCTAAATCTTGCTATATATTCAGTATTTGCTGTCTATAACCTCTGCTATTGTTTAATTTATTACTATTGTTTCCTTATTCTATATAACATAATAAGCAATAGTATAGCTAGTTAAAAGACCTTATTCTATAGAATATAATAAGCTATTTAGCTTTATATTATATATTGTAAAGCTAGGACAGCTTTGTGTAGCTAGTTCTAGTCAGAGACGCCACAGAGTGGCGCCTCTAACTGATAAGACCTATATTAGGAAGAGTATTTCTAGGCAAGTTTTCTCTTGTACTTAGACTTAGGAAAATTAACTACTTCTCTTTATAAATATTAGGACGCTGTAGTTTATTATAGTTATAAGCCTAGCTTTTACATAAAAAACCCCTAAATATTATAATTACCTAGTGTTCTAAAACTCTCTCTTTTAATCTATTACTAAGTAGTTTAACTACTTTAAAAAAATAATATCCTCTAAAACTAATAAGATAACTAACTATAATAAGTCTATTAAGCTTATTATAAGGCAAGATTAGCCTAAATAGTTTATTACTCTTAAATACTATACTAAAAGTAAGAAGGTATAGAAGTATATTAATTAGACAGTAATTCTAAAGTAAATATTACTAACTAACTAGACTTCTAATCCTTTAATAACTAGCTTAAGAGTATAAAAGGAAGCTAGATAATTAAAGGTAACTTTAGTAACTATAAATATAATAATCTTTATACTCTTAATATAAAAAAGAACTTAGTAGCTATATAAAGAAGAATATATATATAAAGTAATTAAAGCCTAGGTCTAAGAAATAGTTAATTTATTACTACTTACACTAGTATATATAGAACTCTAGATAAAGGAACACTAAGTAAATATTAACTTAAAGATAATATATTACTAAAGGCTCTTATAAGAGTTCTAAAATAGCACTATACTCTTAATAACTCTACTATAGTTATAATAGTTTAAGAAGAGTATTTAGTAATATTAGCTAAGGCTAACACTAATATAAATCTACCTCTTAGTATATAGATTAGTATAAGTGCTACCTTTAGGCTAAGTAATATAAAATACCTAAAGTATAAAGAACTTAGCTATAAAAACTTTTCTTAGAGCAGTATTTACTTAGTTTTTACTAACTTAGGGTAAAAACGCCTTAGAATAAGTTATTAAGCAGGAGATAAATAACAAGGAAATTTACTTACTTTACGTATACAAAGCTACTTTTAGTGTACTAATTATAAGAATTAACTAGTAAAATAAAAAGGAAATTAACTAAAGTCTATATAACCTAGTAAATTATTTAGATATAATAATAAGTTACCTATGCCTAGGATAAAGGATTACTTTATAGAATCCTATAATAATAATACTAAGTAACTATTATAAGTTAAATTTATACTATAAGTATTTCCTATTAGTATCTTTAACTAAACTTTAGAAGAATTAGTAAAAATCTATAAATAGCTAAAAAGATAAATAGTAGTTAGTTTTATATATACTAATTAATAAAGTTAGATAAATTACTTACTAAAGAAGGTTAAAAGTAATTAAACTTTAAGAAGAAGGATATAAAAAAAAAAAGTCTAAGGAAGTAGGCTCTGCTTTAGGATCTACTATAATAAATTATATTACTATTAATCTATACTTCTAGAATTCTAGTATAACCTAGAAAGCGTCTTATATAGATATTTTTCCTACAGCTATAATAGACCCTATGCGCTCTCTAAAAGTATAGTGTTTAATATATATAGAGCTATACACTTAGTTAATAACTTAAGCCTTCTTAAGCTATCTTTAGTTTATAACATAGGTCTAGATAAGATAGTCTAAGTAGGATCTACTTTATTCCTAGTTACTAAGAAAAGAACTAGAGTTATTAAGGGACTTCTAACTAGAAAAAAGGGACTAATTAATTTTGTCTTAAATAACGTTTACTATATAAAAAACTTCTATATAAATATTGTTATAGAAATAAGGTTATATAAGGTAGGTATTTAGTACTATAGTCTAGATTATATACTATGCTCTAGGTTACTTAAGAAGAACAAGGTAATTTACTGCCTTATTAGGAAATTTAACCTAGTCTTCCTCTAATATAACTTCTGTTCCTCTTATTTATTCTTATACAGTAGTACTAAAGTATTTATTATTTTTAACTAGCTTCTTACTGCTATAGACTATTATATAATATATAGAGAGATAAGATAGATAATATAATACTATAGTACCTTTGTTTAGGACATCTAGGACTAGATATACTTTAATAACTTATTATAAATATATATAGAGTTAAGATATAAGCCTCTTTATAACTTAAATATAAATATTATACTACTACCTATGCTTTATAAGTGATTTTAAGATAAATATTAAAGGTAAAGTTAATATAACTATACTATTATATTTTATAAGACCTATTTAATTATCTAACTAGCTTTAATAGTATAAGCTAGATGCTTATTATTAAAGATAAATAATTAAGTTAGCTATTTGTTTTCCTAAGAGTTAATAAGACCTATAACTAGGTTTTTAAAGTAATCTAACTATTTAAACAGTAGATATAAAAGTAAAAAGGTTATTAATCTATAAGATTTAATAAGATATTAAGTATACTATAATTAGTATACAAGGCTATACTCTCTATAAACAGTAGATATAAGAACTTAGTATAAAGGTAGAGTTATCTCTGCCTTATACTAAAGAACCTATTAGAGGAGGTAAGAAAGCTAGCTAGGAAATTATTATTTATTTAATTAAGATAATATCTATAGTAAACTTACTAACTAATTTATAGCCTAAAGCAGTAATAGTAGCAGCCTATATTATTAGTATAAGCCTTTAAAAACATAATAACTAGAAATCCCTAGTTAAAGTAAAGGAAGCCTAGTACTAATAATATTTTAAATAGTATTAGCTAACTTTAAATATAAGTATAACCTAGGATCTATGTCTATATTAGGGCTAGTTATATATATATAGTTACTACACTTATCCCCTAAAGTATAAAAAAGAGAGAGGTATTAAGAAGAGGCTTTTTAAAGTAGTTCCCTAAGGATATATTAGGTACCTAGTAGGTTATATATTAAATATATATAACCTATATAGGATTTAGGTTTTATTACTTTATTAGGTATTTATTACCTAAAATATAACTTTTAATAAGATAAAGTTCTATACTCTAGAGGATTCTTGTCTTATAATTAAACTAAAAGTTATATAAGAAATTATTAAGCTTAAGACACCTTCTATAAACTTAAATATAGTACTTAAAGCTCTAGGTGTTATAGATTTAATAAATCTCCTAATAAAAACCCCTTCTAAAATAATAGTTAAAGTAGACACACTAACTAATAAAGTTATAGAACCTATATTATTAATATAACTTATAGAAAGAAATCTTCTATTACTAGAGTCTACACTAGATCTAAAGCTAGTTACTAAACCTATTGTTATAGGTAAAGACAGTATAAAAGGCTAGCTACTAGAGGACTTTATAAGAAATAAAAGTAGTGCCTATATAACTACTTCTAGCTAATCTCTATTAAGAGAAAGGATTAAAGATATAATTTATGTTTAAATAAATAATAACCTTATAATAGCGCAAAAGGAATATTATATAGATTAAAACTAGTTGCCTTCTAGGGCAAAAAGGCTATTTAGTCTAGGAAGAGGTACTAGAAGACTATATATATATAGAGCTATAGTAGCTTAGGGGGTAAGAAGCTAAACCCTACTATTAAAAATAAGTTATTAAACTAGAGGATTACTGCCTAAGACTAAAGAGGAGAATAAAGGCTAGTCTAGAAGACATAGAAGAAGACTTATTAACTTCTTCTTATATAATAAAACTAGACTACTACTTAGATATAAGTACCTAGATAGTATAAGACTTACTTATAATATAATAGTTCTATAGAATAAAATAAAGATAACTTTTTACTTTATAAATAAAGAATAAAATAATTTTTTTAGTACCTTTATACCTAATTAGTAGAAAGTAATTAAAGAATTAAACTATATATATTAAACCCTTTATATAATTATAATAAGGTTAATTTAAGGCACTATATACACTAGACTATTCCCTAAACTAAGTAAGAAGTATTTTGTCTTTAAACTTCTAGACCTACTAAGAAGCTTTAAAGATATATAGAAACTCCTAGAGAATTTAAAATCCTTATTTAAAAAGGCCTATTTTATTAAAATTAATAAGCTAATAGAGAAAGAAATCTAGAGGCTAATTAACGCTTTAGAGATAATATTTAAACCCTTACTGCTTAAATAAGTATTTATATATAAAGTAGACAAGGATAGCTTTCTAGAATATTATAAAGCAAGGATCTATATATAAGGTAATCTATAACTAGAAAACCCTCTCTAATAAACCTATATAGCTACCCTTGTAGTAAGAACTTTCTATATTATAATAGTA